AAAATCAAAGTGAATACCTAAAGCTTTTAAATAATTTTTTGAAATCTCAATTGAATAGTCATAGATTTCTAAAATTTAAAAAGAAATTATATAGAGTCTAGATTGAATACACCCTAAAAAACACCGGCAAATAATTTCACTGGATTTTTACTTCAATCATTAGGTCATGTGACACAATTAAAGACATCATCTAATAAATTCTGTACTAGTATTAACCTCGTGCTTTGCACAAGCTTGTATACACTATAAATTTTTGACATTCCTCTATTAATAAATTTTTATTTAGCTTAGTTATTTAATTAAATTACAATATGTGCTGTATAATTTTTTAAATAGAATTTTATTTTTAATTTTAACGAAGATGTATTATTTATATTTTAATTTTTGTTGTTGCTTGGATGGAGTTATTTAACATAATCATGTGTGGCGTGACAAACATTGTACAGAACACCTCTGGAGTTATACTATCTTTGAAACACATAACACTTTATTTTTAAAAATAAAATAAACATAAATAATTTATTTTTAAAAAAAATTATGTATGGAAAAATTAATGCAAACATACAAAAATTTAATATGAAATATATATTTTAAATTAAGGTCTAGATGTATTAAATTTTATAGGATAAAGTAAATGGTAAATAGTTTAAAAATTTATCAATAGTTTTATTTTCAAAAACATAACTTTTTTATGATAAAAATTATAAAATAATTTTTTACATCTGAAAGTACGGAGTATGTTACAATAGTGAAAATATAAAAACAATAATAATTATTTTAGTGAGAAAGTAAAAGGTTAAAAGGTGAAAATTTGATAAACTATAATAAAATAATAGTTACTTAATATAAAAATTAAACGCATGTGTGGCATAACACGTGGCGTGATATGTGTAAATAAAGAACACGCGTGGCATGACACGTGTCGTTAAGACCTTCTCGCATGTTTTTTAGAGGCTCGTAGTTGGATCTCTCTTGTTTTGCAAAGCCTAGTACATTTAAACACTTCATTAAAATAAAGGGAAATGTTTGGTTCATAAACTAAGCCCTGTCCCTTATGCCTTACCTGATTGAATCTGATCTAAATTTTTGAAGTTCTGATCTGATTTAAACTGATTGGGTCTGTTTTGATTTGATTGGATCTGATCTGATCTGATTTGATCTGACTGGATCTCATCTGATCTGATTGATCTGATATGATCTAATTGTGTCTGATCTGATCTGATTGGATCTGATTTTATCTAATTAGATCAAGTGTAAATGAATTTAAATTTAATTTAAATTAAACTTAAAATTATTAAAAAATTTAATAGTTTTAAAATATTACAATTGACACATACATAAAAAAGTAAAATAAGAAAATCAGCTAATCATTGATATGTTTAAACTTTTTTAAAAAATATTAAATGAAAAAATTTAATATCACAACTTTTTTAATTTTTGTGAAAACTAAACAATCGGTATTAAAATAACCAAATATTAGAAAATATTGATGCTATTCTACAAAAATATCACATTCTATATGCATATTACATAATAATATATTTCATGTTATAAATTAAAGATCATATAAAATTTTAAACACTAATATCCCTTTCACCTCTATCAATTCTGTCATAAACTCACCCTTGTGTATATTATACCATCTTAAAGTTTAAAAATAAGTCTTTTTAAATATAGAATATTTATAGTTTTGAAAACTAAGTTTTGTATAATTATTTTATAAACAAGTATTTTAAAATAACTCTTTTTAAAGTATGAAAAATTCAACTTTTTAAGCTTTAATATTGGTTCCATGCATCATTTCTATCCTACAAGCTAAGCAATTATTAAAAATAATGGTTTGTAGTTGAAATATAATAATAATAATAATAATAATAATAATAATAATAATAATAATAATAATAATAATAATAATAATAATAATAATAATAATAATATAACAACAATAATAATTAAAATTATAATATTACTTAAGAATTTTGATGTGTGTAGTTTTAAATAAAGTAATGTGATTTAATCAAATAATAGTAATTATTATTTAATACTTGAAAAATATAAATATTATTTTTTATATTTTTCTTGATCTGATATTATTGGATTTGATCTGGTCTGCTCTGATCTGATTGGATTTGGTCTGATTTCATTAAATCTAATTTGATTTGATTAGAACTGATTTGATCTGATTGGATCTCTGATTAGGTCTGATCTGATTTGATTGAGTCTGATTTGATTTGATTTTAATAAGAATAAGTAATAAGTAGAAAAAATAAGACCTATGTAACGGATCCAAAATAGTCACAAATCTTACGAATTTAGTACTATTTATGAACTTCAATAAAAAAATAAGGCATTTGGAAAAATTTTAAAATGAAAACTTTAACCATACATGGTAAGTTTATGAACCAAACATTGCTCTAAAATAAATATAGAATTAAAGACCATAGAAGAATTTTTCTTTCTTAATCTTTGTTGGCAATTTATTCCGTGGACCTAAGGTTCATGCTCATTTAATGAACCTTAATTCATTTGTAGCATATAAGAAGTGGACATTATGCATTAAAAAAACAAGATATTCACATGCTAGCTTATAAAAAATGTGAAAAGTTCCACACTTTAAATGTAGACCTTGGACCATATAAGCATCACTTAATCTTGTTTGGGTTGAGCTTGATTCTATTGTCCTCAATTTGGACACGTTTCTGTTGTCCTTAACCCGTCTCTCTATGCTACATCAGCTTAAATGTCTCTTTGACTTACATCACAATTTTACTGGAAATGAATTTGAAGCTTCAGGACTTCAAACTGGGGTTTCAAACATTTATTTTTAAAAATTTTCAATGCACATGATGTAAAATTAAATTAATAAGATTTCATTAATTAATTGAATATAAACAGTAATAATTCACTAAATAAAAAATTACATTCAATAAAAAGAGAACATTAAATTAAAAAAGGGAAACTTATAAAGGCTTCGGAGGTGTGCCTAAGGGCATTGAAAATGGGTTTGAAGCCCCAAACTTCAAAGTGGACTTCAAATCTTCTCTCTTTGCCACATCAGCTTAAATGTCTCTTTGACTTACATCACAGTTTCACTGGAAATGAATTTGAAGCTTCAGAACTTCAAACTAGGGTTTCAAAAATTTATTTTTAAAAATTTTCAATGCACATGTTGTAAAATTAAATTAATAAGATTTCATTAATTAATTGAATATAAACGGTAATAATTCACTAAATAAAAAATTACATTCAATAAAAAGAGAACATTAAATTAAAAAAGGAAAAACTATCGAGAATAATTCCAACTTTACCCGGTCTTTCAAAAATAATTTCAACTTTCACTGTGATGGACAATAATTCTAAATTGGGGGCACTAATCCTCGTTTCTTAATTTTTTTGTTTCTTATTAGTTTTTTTTCTTTTTTTTACTCTTTTTAATCTATTTGTTTCCTTTTCTTAGAAAAATTTGTTAAATTTCTTTTCAATATTATCATATTATAAAAATCCAAAATTTTTTATGTTTGAAATATAATTGAATAACATATACTTGAACTATCTCAAATTAAACATTTTTAATTTTTGTCTTCTAGGATATATTTTTTTGGTAAGTTACAAAGAAAGTTCAGAATAAAAAAATAAAAAAATGCAAAAACGAAATAAAAAAAATTGTAGCATGCAAAAAAAGTTTTATACAAAAAGAAATTTTCAGAATGCCTAAAAAGTCATTAGAATTGGGATGTCTAAAAAGCATATTCATTTTTAATTTTTGTTTTAGTTTATTTCTTATTTTATTCCTCATTTTTTAAAGTTGTCAAAAAAAAGTTTTTACTTTTTTATCTCGAAAAAACAAAAAATAAAAATTGTTAATTTGAGACATCAAATGCAATATACTCGTATGTTTTTTTTTCAAAATAAAATAAATAAATTCTAAGAACATTATAAAAAATTTAAAGAGAAATTTAGAAAAATGTGATTTATAAAAGAAATGATAAAGAAAAAAAGGAGAAAAACAAAAAATAAAAATGAGCATCTGTGCCCTAGTTTGGAAAATAGGCATCAATGCTCCTTCTTCGCCGGAAAATGATCAGAGAGAATATGTGTGTAATGTTTTGAAACCATGATGACTTTAAGAATATGTTTTGAAAACACGAAGGGTAAGTTTCAACTTTACAACTCTTAGGCTTCTTTTCGGTTGAAATTCTAAAATTGGATGTTTAAAGAGATTTTTGATGAAGCTGAAAGAAATTGGAAGAATTTAAAAGGAATTGAGAGAGTAGAAAATTATTGGAGAAATAAGGTGTAAAAAATCGCTCAACTAAATGATCATAAAATAAATATGTAAGAAAATTAATTTTGGATATAAAAAAAGTTTTTCTTTGTCCGGGTTTGAGGTGTTACATTATAAATTTAGATATATAATATAATTGTATAGTCATCATATGTAAATATATTTTTTAAATCGTTGAAAAAACTGGAAAGAGCTAGAAAAATACTAGAATGAGCTAGAAGAAAATGAAAAGAATTGCATAAAGTTAGAAGTTAATTTTTTTAATCGAAAAGAACATAGCCCTAGCAGTTTCAATTGGGAGACGGTACACCTAACACATGTGAGTATGTGACAAGCTTTGTAACGCATGGAAATAGAAGTTATCAAAATTAAATCAATTTAAGTACTTCCTCCCTCTGTCCCAAAATGGATGCTCTTGTTGCCATTATAACTTTTGTTCATTTATATGTAAATAAAATAAAATATTCTTGCCATTATACATACTCCTTAATCACTTCCTAATCTCTTTTCCTAATCAGCAAGAGAGGCTTCGTGCCCCCAAATCAAACATAATACAATCCGAACTCAAAGAACTGCATATTCTCTGGCATAAATTCCCTATGTCACTAAGATCAAATTTGGGCAATTGTGGGTTGGGGTAAAATCAGTAAAAAGCAAGCAAAAAAGCAAACATCTAAAAGAGTATACAAACTTTCATAAGCACTATAATCCAATGAAACTATGGTACTATTTGCTATGGACATTGCATTGACAGTTTGTACAGATGTTATTATGCAAGGAGCAGATCATATGAATCATTCATTCCATTGCGACAATGCAGAGAAGTATCGTTGCGTCAGTAAGCGATCTCTGCAAGGCCTCATTGATCTCAGCAAATCGAAACCGGTAAGTGATAAACTTGTCCATGTCAAGTTCCTGAACAACATGAAAACAGCAACAGAAGAAAAAATGTCATGACCCGTCCATCATTTTATGATCAAAATCACAGAGGAGATAACGAAACACGAACCCCCTTCATGACCATGTCCACAAGTGAGGGAAGTTGAGACCGCGGTTTGTAGTTCCCAAAGTAGCAGCCCTTCAGAGTCCTCTCCCCTGCGAATTTCAGTGAATCAGTCCTCAACTTTTGGCGCGACTCAGCGTTGAGAACCGCAATGCCCCATTCCTGCAATAATTGTTCATCCCACTGTCTCAAAACCAACTTTGACTCCGCGGCGTTTACGAAATGTGCTGAAAAGTAATGTAAAAAAACATGTGTGACATACTTTATGAACACATTCAAATGCACATCTCATGCAGCTGATGTCCCCAGTGCAATCCACACTTCGGTCTGCTCCTCCACGGGTCATATCCACAATGATCTATATATGTATATAGCACAAAACTCTCAACCTACTGTTGTACTCTAAAGATCTTAAAACAAGTTTTCAGGGGGACAAGAGAAACAAACATCTTTAATTGGCATGTTATAACGCGGCGGGTTCAGAAAGTATGTCATGCCAAATCCAACCGCTGCACACAAGAAAAATGTGAATGCCGATAAATTGATGAGAATGAGAAGCAGCACATCATTAGAACTAATAACTCTCACCCTTTCTAAGCTTGTTTACATCCACATCGACGCATATTATCTCCGAAGCACCAGCTATTCTGGCTGCTTCTGCAGCCTGAAAAAAAACCATTACTTATTATATGAGGTAAAGCACCAAACTTATCTATCTATCAAGGAAACATAGACAAGCCACAATACATACTGCAAGTCCTGTTAGACCGAGTCCGAAAATAGCCACAGAGGAATCTTTTGGTGGCCTGGCAACATTCAACACAGAACCCAAACCTATATACATAGACACACATAGAGAAAACTCAAAGATGCACCACATAACATACAAACCCAATAAAAACCCACCAAGAATGCATTGGAACCTGAAACAACCCCACAGCTCAATGCACAAATCTTGTCCAGTGGAGCAAGAGGATTGATTTTGACAACACACCCGGCAGGACACACGGTGTACTCAGTAAATGTGGAAGTGGTGGCATAATGGTATATGGGTTTTCCTTCAACTAAAAACCTTGGTGTGCCTTCACAGATCTTCAGTCCCTCAATGAACTTAAAACAAAGAAGACTACACAGATTACTTTCTTCAGATTTGCAGTGAGCACATTCTCCACATTCCCCAGTGTACACCGTCATAACCGTATCCCCTGCAACTAATCCCGTCACGCCCTCCCCCACGCTCTCCACAACCCTGTGCAGTCACAATATATATACAGTAAATTTCTTTTTTTTCTTGCTACTGTATGATGAATTAAACCTAGGGTTTAGCCTAATTAGAATAAATTCACAGTCCACGTACCCTGTTGCTTCATGTCCCATAATCATAGGGAAGAATGGACCCTGAAAGAAATCAAGAAATGGAATTTGTAAGCCCTTGGCAGTACAGAACAAAAAAAATTCAATTTTTTCTCGAAGCTTCTAGAAGAAAATACTCCATTTCAACCCAAAAGAAACGAAAGAAAGAAATTACCTGGAAAGACCAGGTTACAATATCTCCGGGACAGACGGAAGTGAAAAGAATCTTGACCCGAACCTCCATTTTATGCGGCGGCGCCACCTCCACCTCCTGTATCCTCAGGGGCTGGCGGGGTCCCCATAACACGGCAGCTGCGCGCTATTTTCTTGAATCGTCGGAACTTATCGACGCCAGAAAGAAAAAGTGTGATTTTTGATAGGGTAAAGTAATTACCTTTGCATTTTATGATTTTCCCTGCAGTGGTCGCCGGAATTTTTCTTGGATTAGCCATTGTTGCGTCTGATTTCTTGGTACTGAAAATTGAAGAGGGAAGCGACTTGGCGGGCACAGTATCCACGAGCCGTTGACTTTTTTTAGCAGGGATTATGACTTTAATATCCCTCCAAAACAATCACCGTTAGGTCCGTTACTAATCCAATCTCTCAATTTATATTTTTTTTTGTATTTTGGTTGATAATCTGATAATATAAAATATTTTTATCAAATATTTCCTTCGGTCATCTCGGCCACTCGGAAAATAGAAACCTAAAATATATATGTATTGATATACAGATTGGATCGATCCGAACTCTCTTCGCATTCGAAAGAGTACGCCTTGAAAAGGACTCGAACCTCCACGCTTTTAGCACGAGATTTTGAGTCTCGCGTGGCTACCATTTCACCACCAAGGCAGTAAGGCATCATGAAATCAAATCTATGACAATTTTTTCATTCTATATCTATTAAATATAAAAACATGGAGATTTTTGGATTCAGTCAAGGTTTTTGTCCAATTACGGCTATTCCGTAGCGATTACGGGATTAACCACCTAGTCCGATGCGGACCAGAGATTCCAGTGAGTAACTTAATAGATTTCAAAATAATTGAACTATGATAAAAAAAAAGTCATATAGTCTTATGGGATACTTATCTACGATGAATGAATATCAGCAGAATATATATGATGAAATAATAAAAATTGTGACAACTGAGAGAGGAGGTTTCTTTTTTGTATATGCTTACAGTGGAATTGGAAAAATATTTCTATGATATCACTGTCTGCTTCTTTGAGGTCAAATGGAAATGTTGTCTTAAATGTCGATCATAATTCAACTCTTATACCAAGAAATTATTTTGAAATCTCTTAAGTGGACTGTCATCAGCAAACAACATCCCATTAAATTCTCTTAAAGACTGTCCATTTGAATTAAGTAACTTTTCAATCTCAATCAAACAAAAATTCATTAGATCTTTTCGAGAAATTATATGCTTTGAAAAAAATTAGAAAAAACGCGACTTAATTAGTTCTACATAGTACTCAATTAAAGAGTTTGATTTCAACAAAATGTATTACATATGGATTAATATTTTAAAAAACTATTTTTCTATTGAAATACCTTAAATACGGTATATTTCCCTCCAATCAAATAAAATTCTATCCATCAGGAGTTCTTATCCAGTAAAATATTAAGCTTGGTAAATGATTAGGACTGGGCATCTTGTTGGACCCCCAGATTACACTTGGCACAAGTGACAATACAGATAGTGATTTCCAATTTGGGTATCACTCAGAGGGGGAGGGTGTTGAAGTGTTGGACAAATCCAGGCTGTAAACTCTCTTTTTAAAAACCCCAGAACCCTGCTCAATCTGTGTTTTAGTTCCCAAAGCCAGTAAGAGTAAAAAAGGAAAAGCTTACCCTACTATGCTTACTAGAAGTATAAAGGGGAATAAAGATGTAACCTTTCCGTTGTCATGAACATCTTATTTTGGAATGTATGTGGAATTAACTCCTCTGTATATAGGCTAACCTCCCTTACCAAAACATATCATCTTGATTTAATTGCTGTTATTAAACCTATGATTCAGGAACATAAAGTTAATTCGATTAGAGTACAGCTGGGTTTCTCTAATTGTGCAACTGCTTTAAACAACAAGCTTTGGGTGTTCTGGAAAGGAGATAGATTCAACTTGTTACATTTTCAAGAGTTTGGTCAATTGTACACTTGCCACTTCTAGGATAACATTCTCAACACAAAATGTATCATCTCCTCAATATATGGCAAGCACACAGGAATTCAGAGAAGGGAGTTATGGAGGGACATCTTTGACAATATTGTCAATGACCACATATGGATCTTAGGGGGTGACTTTAATGCAATATGTTCACTTGATGAACAGAAAGGCCTCACCACCCCTTCTCTGGCAGACAACTCTGAGTTCAAGGACTGCATAGAAGCCATCCTATTAATTAGCTCAGCTTTTGAAGGAGGTATTTTCACCTAGAGTGGGGTGATAAGTAGGGGCAGAATTTGGAGGAGACTTGATAGGGCTTTGGTCAACCATCATACTATGAATCACTTCACAGGAATTAGCATCAAACACTTGAGCAAAACTTCTTCAGATCATAAGCCTATTCTGTTGAAGTGCCATCCAGAGGAATTTTTTGGGGCAAAACCCTCAGATGCCAAGACTTCTGGTTGGATCACAGTAACTTCCTTAAAGTTGTCAGTAATTACTGGTCCCAGCAGCCTATGATTGGAGGGATGAGGGGATTAGCTACTAAACCGAAAGGTCTCAAGTCAATTCTTAAAACATGGAGTAAAGAAACATTTGGTGACATCTTTGAAGCAGTTAAGAAAGCTGAATGCAAGGAAATGAAGACTCAAGAGCAGTATGAAAACAACCCGGTTAACCATCTGAGAGCCCTATAGCTAATGAAGCACAAGTAGAACTTATTGTGGCCACTCACAAGGAAACTCTTTTCTAGAAACAAAAGGCTAACTTGAAATGGATGGAATTAGGGAATCAAAGTTCCTCCTTTTTCCATGCATATGTCAAGGGAAGAAGGAATCACATTAAGATTAGAAGCATTTCTGATAACAATGGAAGAAATATTGTGGAAGTAGTAGTCATTCAAAGGGCAGCATAAGAATATTTTAAAGATATTTTCAACACTCAAAAAGAAGTTGATGCTCTTGTTATTCTAGAGTATATCCCTACCCTTATCACCCAAGAGGATAATATCATGATGGGCAGAATTCTAGAAGAAGATGAAATTAAGCAAGCAATTTGGGATCATAGTCCCACAAGCTCTGCAGGCCCTGATGGGTGTAATGGCAACTTTTTTAGAGCCTGTTGGAACATCATTAAAGATGATGTCATCAAGGCTACACAAGAGTTTTTCCTAGGAGTTCCTATTCCAGTGGCCTTTGGAAGCACTTGCATTACTCCGATCCCTAAAAAGTAAGTCTGTAAACACTTTTCTGATTATAGGCCAATCTCTCTCTACTTTTATGAGAAAGATAAACTCTAGGATCCTGGCCTCTAGGTTATAACCTCTTCTGTCCAAGCTTATATCCAAAGAACAGGCTGGGTTTTAGAAGGAAATGGGAGTGGAAGATCAGATTTTAATGACTTGTGAAATGGTTCACAGCTTGGACAAGAAGTGTGACAGTGGTAATGCAATCATCAAGTTAAACATGGGAAAAGCATTTGATAAAATTGAATGTAGCTTTTTAAAGGGAGTTCTAGACAAATTTGACTTCTCAAAGGATATTCAGGACTTGTTACTAGCAAACCTCATTGGCACACACATCTCAATCTTGATTAATGGATGTGCTATAGGATTTTTCAGAATGGAAAGAGGAGTTAAGCAGGGGGACCCTCTCCCCCCTACTTTTTATTATTGCTAGTGAGGTTTTCCCAAGGATGATCAAGACCAACATGGAAATGAAATTCATCAAGAGGTTTAATACCGGAAGAAGTCTCCTTATTAGCCATCTTGCATATGCAAGAACTTTAAGGACTTGCATAAGGCCTACTCTATCAAACTTTGGTGGAAAGCACATAAGGAGAACAGTATATGGGCTACATTTATTAGAGACAAATACTTTAGAAGAAACTCCTTTCAGGAGAAACTTGTTGACTCCACAAATTGGAAAAGAATTTGTAGAATTTCCCACTTGGCAGATGAGCATTCAGATATAGTCAATGGCACCATAATGTGGGAAGGAGGGGGCTTCACATTGAAAAAAGGATACAATCCCTGTAGAGAAGCTAATAACTTACAAATCAGCTACAAACTAGCCTAGTGTAATATCCTAATATCAGATTTTTTCAGTGGAAAATCCTACATGACATAGTGCATTTCCCTCAAATCTTCATGAAAATAGGTTTTAATCTCCCCTCACAATGCCCTTTCTGCAAACAGTGGGAGGCCAGTGTCAATCATACCTTGCTTCACTGTGAACTCAGTATTAACATCAGAAGATACTTCACCATCCTACTGCAAGGACCTAATGTCAGGCATGACATGAACTCTGAAACAACACTTCTTAGAATGGGGACTTCGAGCGAAGAGTGGCAACTTAAGAGGAAACATCAAAATGGTGATACCTAGTATTATTGCGTGGAACCTATGGAAGATGTACAATGCTGCCATCTATAATGACAAGAGACCCTCCGTAGCTTCCGCATACAATCAAATCAAGAAGATGATCCAAAACTGGTGTTGGATACACAGAAGGAAGAGGTGCGCTGTTAGGCTCTTTTGTAGTCTTTAAATTCCCTTACATTTACTAATCTTTGGGTCACCATTAGTGAGAATTTGGTTTAATTTAAGATCAAGAAAGAACGTTGACCATCCTAGAGGTTAGAGTGCAATTCTTGTGTTATTTTAGGTCCAATAGGTTAATTGTTAGAATCGGGCTAGACGACCCAAAGTGAAAATAACCAACCCGGCCCATTAGTTGAGTACAAAACTTAGGACGTGAGAGGGAGAGATCAGTTACGTGAGAGGAGAAAGGAGGAGAGAGCGGGAAAGTGAGATCAGAGAGTTAACCAGGAGAGAAATTCGGCGACCAGGCATAATCCGGCGAGTTGGACCTCGCGATCATCATCATTCATCGCACAATCACCAAGCGCTCCTCCCGATCAGGCGTTGTAACCAAACAGACGAGTCATCACGTTCGTAGGATTTGATCCTCGAACGCTGTTCATAGGTATTTCGCTGTTTTTTTGTGTTTCCAAATTCGAGATACAGTTTCAATGTTTGAGGATTGTTTGAATTGTTGATTCATAATTGGACGTTTGATTTCGTGCTATTCAAATCTGAGTCCTAATCTCTTGTTCGGACGATATACTCCTGCGATCATGTGTTTAAATTGTGAATCGATTATCATGATCATGTTCCGAGAGTAATTCCTCTCTTGTCTGGTGGAAATTTAGGATCAGTTCTCAGGCATTTGTGCTCATTGCAATGATTTGAGGTTTAGACAGTTGTTGAAGGTTGTTTGATCCTGTTTTGTGCTCAGCTTCTCAAACT